ATTTGGAAGTTCATGCGGGTAATACGGGAGAAGGTGCGTCGGATCATCCGTCGAATGGCGAATATCTTTCGGGCCAATTTCTCATGGTGCAGTAAGAAGGGTAATTTTGAGGAGCCCCAGATACCCAAACTTTTTGGTGTATATCCTCATGATGTTTTCTGGTCCTTTCTAACCATGCATGATAAAGACATTCGATGAATTTCCTCCAAACGACATATGGACGCACTTTTCGTCATTCAGAGGAAAGTGCCAGTCCAACGACCACTGCTCGGCAGCGTCTACACCCATTTGGAGGGCACTGGCATTGGTACTCCAGCATTTCAAGTCGTTCGCAAAAAGTAAACATGAACTTGCAAGAACGTCTGAAATGTCGTTGACGTAGGTCGGGAACAGCGTTTGTCCCAGGACGGTGCCAGGAAGAACTCCAATGGGGACCGGCAATGGAGAAGAGTAGGTAAAAACTACCTTCAATCAGAATGATCTGTCTAGTAGAAACGTCCTGATCAGTCTAGGAAGTACCCTTGAATCTCGTAAGACTCGATTTTGCGAAGGAGCGGGGCGTGTGGGTCCCTATCAAATGCTTTTGGGAAATCGGAAAATATGGCATCCGATATGAGTCCCTCGCCCTTGGTTTGGGCTAAGCTATCCATAAACAAGAGCATGTTTGTCACGCAAGAACGGTTTGGGACAAATCCGTGTCGTGCTGGGGATATCAGTTGCTTGAAGTGATGTGATCTGTGGTAGCTTGCTTTAGAATGTGTACCATCACCTTGCACGGCATGCTAGTGAAGCTTATAGGCCTGTAGCTGCGAGGCGATAGTCAGTCACCAGTTTTGTGGATTGGCGGGACAATCGGTCCACCCTGAGCACAGAAAAGGCGCCCTTCGTCAAGCGATTGACGAAGTAACAAGTATGAATCACTTGCCAGTGTAGACGACGTTTGCTTCAGGAGCCTTGGATGAAACTCGTCGAGCCCTAACGTGCAGAATGGGTTGACCTTGTGCAGGAGTTGACGAATGTCCCTCACCGTGAAGTCCAAGTCGGTTAGAGGCTGTTCGTAGTTACGCCTGGACAAGGGTGGATGTGACTACGACGTTGGGGCTGAATAGAGACCTACATAGTTTTCTCTTTAAACCTCAGATACCACTATTGAGTCATCGTGAAGTCCAGTCGGTTAGAGGCTGTTCGTAGTTACGCCTGGACAAGGGTGGATGTGACTACGACGTTGGGGCTGAATAGAGACCTACATAGTTTTCTCTTTAAACCTCAGATACCACTATTGAGTCATTCGTGGGTTCTCCATTCCTGTCCTTCAGGGAGAACGCGGACGGCTTGTTTCTGTGGAGGGGTTTTTGTGTATTTGCACAGTACCTTTTTGTTTTTCGGGGCAAGGTTTAGGATGGTGGGTTGTTTTCGTATGTTCCACTGGCGGATTTCTGATTTACGGCTGTTCCGCATTTTGCGAAATGCCAGCTCATCTTCTGTATTCCCTGTAGTCAACTTTTTGAAAGAGTTGGGACTTTTTTCCAGAAGTCGCCGAATCCTTTTTGGCAGCCCGCGTCTCATCCGAGTATGTGCTGGTTTTTTCAGACGAACGTCGCGTCAACCACGTGAAATTTCTGGACAATGGCCCGAAATAGTTCTTCCACTGGAGCTGATCCCAGTGCGAATTGTTCAAGATAGATGCGCATTTCGGAGAAGTCTGCACGAACCACGTTTGAGGTTTAGGATTTCTGGCCCAGTAGCAAATGAACTCAAAGGTCAGCACACAGTGGTCGCTACGTCCAAGTAGAGCGTTAATTGTTACCCGATCAACGAAGTGTTTTTCGTTGGTGATGACCAAATCCAGCAGGGATGGCAGGTGGCCTGCGCGGTATCTGGTGGGTGCAACATGTTGAGTCCACGTGCTCTGTTGGACGACTTCAATCAGCGCAGCTGCGAAAAGTCCGTCTGATTCGACGCGCTGGAGATCCTTCCAGGAGGCCTTTTGAGCGTTGAAGTCACCTACCAGCAAGAGATGAGTGGGGTGGTAGTTGGGGGAGAGTTGCTCAAGGGTTCGTATGAGGAATCGGTCATTTTCAGAGGGACTCAAATGGCTACAGTAGGCCACAACGAGAAAGAGAGGATCGGACCCGCGTAGCGTGATTTGGACCCACAATGCATCACCAAAAAGGTGCAGGAGTGTTATCAGAGAGGACAATCGGGCCTGTAAGGGCCGCATGTACTTACAGAGCAACCCCATCAGCCCTCCCCCCTTTTCAGTCACCTCGAAAGACCGAATAACCGTCTATCAGGATCTCCGCGGCAGAGACATGTGGTGTGAGCCAATTCACTGTGAGTGCGATTATGGACGGTTGTTCAAGGCAAGCTGACTATTTAACACCGCCGAGTTTGTTGGAAAGGCTGAGGCAGTTTGTGGACAAGCATTTCAACACTGTCTCTCTGTCTCCGAGGATGAGGAGCCGGAAGCTGAGTGACCGGGGATGTTTGTAGACTTCATAGCTGTGCGCCAAATTTGGGGCCAAGGCTCCAAAGGGGCCTCTAGGGCAATATCGTCTGCTTCCCGCTTTCGTTGTCCCTAGGGATGCTTTTCGCTTGCAGGGTATTTTTTGCCCCATGGGAGACCAGTTTGCTAGGGCCTTCTAGCTTTAGGTGGCGGAGTTTTTCCCCTGTGTAGGAAAAGTCCGACGATTGCTGCCTCTAGCAGTTTCAGCACTGCCTTCTTCTCTGTTGAGCAAACCTTTGCCGGAAGCTTTCGCCCTTCTGGATTCTCGGGTATTTTGGCGCCGTTTGACCGGCAAAGCGTTTCTGTGTGGCCCTGAGCGTTAGGTAGAGGCATCAAGAAGTAATGCTTTTGGTGGCGCTCCCATGAGGCTCGTTTTTGCGGAGGACTGCATCTGGAAGCCAGCCGGCAGTTTTCTAATTTGGCAAATCTTATGTGGCTTGTTTGGCTGCGGTCGCTTTTCCTTCGTGTTTGTGTGGACACCCAATCCGCTGACCAACAGCGGGGCAAACTGCATTTACGAGGGATTTTCCGGTTGGCTGTGGTCACGTTTGTGGCTTTGGCTGTCGGGGTTCTGGGCGACGGTTGTGTCCACAAGCAGGGAGGCCAATTCTGACGGAGTGGAGCTGGAGATTGGCTTCGCCGCCTGTCCCCACATATCTGACTCAGTGCGTTTCAGAGACTGTGGCTTTGGTGAGGGGTTCATGGCTGCAACATTGCCGTCAGTTACGGAGATAAGCTTTGATAGCTCCAAGTAGTTTGGACGCTGCTTGCACGTGATGTTTGCCTCAGCCGGGGCCTTGGTGGACGAGGGGTCTGTGGTGGTCGAATAAGAACTTTTGTCCGGAGGCGCGGCCGGTTGCACAGGTATGCTTTCGGGAGCACAAGACGCTATGGCCACAATTGGCTTGGGCATGAATTTGGGGCTGGCTGAACGAACGAGTTAGCTCCAACTTGGATTGTCTTCGCTTGAGTTACTACGGTTAGATCTTGGTGAACCATGAGTCTATGATCGGCTTTGCAGGCGCCTGTATATTGAGGAGGTCGTTAATCCTGCCTCTCTTCAGATATGGCTTTCAGGGATTTTTTCTCCAGTCCCGGCTCCTTGCTAGTAGGTAATTAAATGGGTGAAAAGTTTAGATGCCTCAAAATGTGTCTACGAAATCGGTGTGCTGAAATTGATTCACGTTGGTAACGTCATTTTCTTACTTGTTGCAATTTTTCATGGGTAAATGCAGGGCGATAAGCCTTGGCCATGGTTTATTTTGTTTTTTTACCGAATGGTTTCAAGCGCTTAATCTCAAGCATGTAGCAACAATTTGGCCGGCAAGTATTCCAGGTTCTCTGCAAAACTGTTTTTGTCTGTGAAAAGTTGATCTGGAGCTGGTGATTGGTAGTATTGTGGTGTTTTGTACCTTCGTTTTACTTCCATTATAACACTACGTATTTCATCAATTGCATAATCGTATTTCGTTTTAATACGAAAAACTACAAAAACGCGCACTTGTACAATTTCACATGATACAAGCGTGGTCAAGTGCTTCGACTCTTTCTTCTGATTTCGCTCGCGCTTGCAGCGGTCATTCGCGAGTCTCATGTACTAACTCTGGTACCAAAATATTTCAGACATCTTCGGGATCTATTATATGTTGGAACTGTTCAGAAGAAGACCTCTGGACCAACATAATTGGATTATTGTTTGTTCGCTGACCTGGGCCAACGAGGAACTATTTTAGGGAGAACAATAGTTAGTGAGTCTGTTCTATCTGATCTCTTTATTTTTTTATACCCTACATAGCGTAATCATTTTTATTACTTTGCCACACACTCCTGGTAAACTAACTTATTTGGTAGCCAGACCACTACAGTATCTGTGGTGGTAAACATTGAACCGCCACGGAGTGCGAGCACTCCCGCTCCTTTTCCAGTTACATTTTTCCTAGTCAAGCATGAAAGACGGCGATAAGTTAACCCTATTTCACTGAGTGGGACACTTATTAAGGGCTAAATCAACCACTCTGGTGAACGGAGCATTTCATTGGCCGACGGGTTATTTTTTCAATTCGGCCCAGTTGCCTAATGATCTCGGTGGCCTTTTAGGTCGCAAATTTAAGTGTTTCATATACATTTCTAGATATTTTACTTAGTTTTCACGCCCTTGTTCTTTGTTTTATCGAGGGACTTGGCTTTTGGACAATTCGGCGCTTTCATGACAATATCTTCCTTGACCCCGCTTTCCGCACGTATGCTGGAACGTCTAGGCATGTGAGGGCCACAACTGAACCAACCGTGATTGGGTGCGGTCGATAGCGGATCGTTTCACGCTCCCTTATTATCGTTAGAAAACATCTCACCATGCTTCTGCGGTAAACGGCATCATAATCGAAACTGTTCTGTGGGAAATCCGATCCCTTACTTTGTTGAATGTAGATCCCGACCCTTTAATTATCCCGGCATTTTCACTGATTATAATGGCTAATCCCACAGTGCAAGAAACTCAAATGATGGTGGAATATTTGCCGCTCAACTGGCATGTTCGACGAGCGCAGTAGAAAGCACACACCACACCACTATTAACTTTACGGGAGCTGCCGGCGTCCGGGTCAAAATCTGCGGTCAGCGGAGTTACTAGGTTGATATTGTGATCGGCCTCGCCCTCTTGTTCTATGAGCTCTTTTTTGTGCCTCGTGTCCACATTTTTCGGGTTCAATTTGATTCCTTCAAATCGGGCAAGCAACTTACAATTGCAAGCAAGCTCGAACGTTTTTCTCCCACCCGCCACCAGCTGAGCTCCGTCCGGTAAGACCATGACCGGGTTCAATAACGCCCAAATCTGCGATACTTTCAAGATTCCATCCACATCCTTAGGTAGCAGATGGGGCCTTCATATATGCGACCATCTTAGGAAGCGATTGGAGGTTGCGTTTCTGGACCTATTTTACTGCCACCCTCACCTATTTTCATGCTAGATTTTGGGGTTATACTAAAATTGTTCAAGCGAATCCTCATGTCTCTGACTTGCCTTTTTGTTTTTTCTTTCTACTTTTAGTGCCACGACCTGCCGAGCTCTAATAGCTCCAATAGCTAAAGAAAGCATCTGGGTTTTTCGCTTGTGACATTCACACTGTGTTCCTTAAAGGCGAACACCAGCCGGGTTTCGCAGTAACGAAGCGCTACAAGTTTGTCTTTCTACACCACTTAGCCACACATATAGAAAGAACTCCAGCGAAACTCCGCCAGACATGTTAGCTCAAAGCGATGCTCCGTCGGTGTTTGTGTACTCTCCGGAATTCTCCATTGCACTGCTTGCCACCACTTGCTCGCTGGTGACCGCCAGTGCACCAGCCTCCGCAGCTTCCCTATCAGCCGTTTGCTAGTTCGGAATGACCGAGTTACCGGACGAAATATTTAGTGTCCAGAGCAGTTTGGTGAAACACAAGAGCTGCCAATTTTTAGATCTGGAAGGACGAACATTTGGTTACCTCACGCGGTTTTCGGGCGCGCCTAAAGTGTGGGTCGCTTTGTTAAGTTGCAGTGCGGTGCTTTCACCACTTGATTCTTAGCTTACGAGGCGCAAGTAATTTCAACTCCGCCATTTAAGATGAATCCAAATAAGGCCTATTTTTTCATACACCAGTGAACATTGTCAGTCACAACTGATAGAATAATATAAAAGAACTCAACCTTTTACCACCCGTTTTTTATAAGCGTCAGAATGCCCAATTTCCAATCTACATTATCACCGGTTTGGTCTTGAAAGCGCCAAACTCGAGGGACATGAAATACCAAGGATGCGCACCACTAAATTAAGGGCCCTCTAATAGGGTAGGTCCATCACAATTCATGTGACAAGCCCCGTCCTAATACTCTTTTCTTTAAACTTTAAATATTGCGTCGGCTCCGTTAACTCATTCTACATCAACCATCCTGTGCACATTGCAGCTTCTTGGCTGGATCTCAGTATCAGAGCATGAAATTGCCGCAATCCGTGACCCCACCTACCTATGACTTCCGTGCTCATGCTTTGTGCATTTTGGCCAAACGGTGCTGAAAAACCCACGAGGGGTAACTTTTCTCCCTCGCACATCTCCATCACTCCAGATGGTACACACCCGTCAAAAGACCGATTTACTCCATGGAAGCTTGTACCATATTTGCAGCCGTTGACTCCAAGACCAAATAACACCACTTCATTCTCATTTAGACCAGTTTCGTAACAGGAATATGACCTAGAATTTTCCTCCTGAAATTTCATAACGTTTAGTGTTCTTGATTAATGGCGCATCCGTGGCGGATAAAGAAAGGTTTCTAGGGAATTCGCCTTGCTAGGTTAACATGGTCTAAAATCACTACCTAACCTTCCTAAGAGGCACCATGACAACCAGAATTTTTAGTTTACTGCATGTAGGGTAATAATACTTTTGCGCTGCGAGTGACGACGATGGCAACCGACAGTTTTAGTGGTATAATCTGGCTAGGAAACAATGTTAGTTCTTGTGCTGTTTCTAGGCCAGTTTGAAACCGCTATGAAGCCAGTGGTTCAAAATAAACGGTTCGACATGGCATTTTATCCACTGAAGAAGAAAAGTTAAGAAAGGATGACGGACATTAGATTCTTACCACGGTTTGCACATTCAACAACCTCAAGTCAGAGATTTATTCCGCCCTAATTATGGAATGGCGTACCGCTGGTTATCGTTTCGGCTGGCTTACTGATCTCCTGCCTTCTGGACATACGAGGTGAGATATGATATGATAACCGTTCAGTTCATTGCTCTCGTTTGTGGGGAAAACGCATTCTCTAGCAGGTACAGCATTTGTAGATATCCAGCTTGATAAATCCACAGTGGTAAGATTTCCAATAATTTGGGGAAAGGCTCTTCGGCTCATGAGAGATGACATGTGGAGATGGACTTTCAATTACTTGAAAATAATGTAGTCCTATACTCGCAAAGCTGAGGCTTCCCAGTTCTACTAACTTACAATAAAATGGCTAAGATAACATGAATAGTGTATGCAGTTGAAATTCAGCAAGTTTTGTCGATGCAGGTAGCAACGGCCCGGTCCCGGTAAGACCAATACCACCCAGCATGACTGAAGGCAATATTTCGGTGCCTAATGTAAAGCTACTTTCTTCATCGCGTTAAATATATGTCCCTGTCGGTGATTACTCCACACGGTCAGCCTTAAAACTACAAGTTTAATCAATTACTTCACGACCGTTCGCAGAAGAACCGCAGGTAGTCGTGGAAGAGCTCAACTCCTGCCATCTACTGTTGTATTTTGATGCTCTTCAGATAGTTTGGAGGTTGATGCCCTGTACTGTACGAGTCTTTCCGTGGGCCTCTTATTGTAAAGTAACCTTTCGACCTGACAATAAATGTGACTTTCTGGTGACTATTTCAGATTCATCGGAAGTACTTACTACTCGGCTTCGCAAAGGGTACCGCTTTGAGTTACTGCATGCCCCGTCCAAATGGCGGGGAAAAAGCGGTGCGAAGGCATTTGCCTTGAAAAATCTGTTACTTAGGTTTGCCCGGCCCATGTTGTTCTTAGCATCATCCTTTATTGTTTGTCTCTGGCAAGAACCTGCAGGGTGACAGAAAAGGCCTGTAAAAAACGCAAATAAGCGGCTCAAATTGGAATCCGTAATTATGATGGCCTGAGGCACGCCACCCAAAATATGCTCTGGAAAAGTGAGTCGTTGATACATGTTTTTGAAGCAAACACCATCGTTTATCATGGGAATGAACAGGTGGTAACTGGCAGTTTGTGTCTGATGCTACGTGGAGAATACTGTGTGATACTCCCAAGTGTCTCCCAGGGGGACGGTTGGACAGCCAAGGTTTAATTGTTTAACCATGCGCAGTCTGGAAAATAGATTCTTTACGAGATGAAAATTGTTCCAACACCGATGCGCTCCGATGGTAAGGGCGAACTCCTCATGGATTTTTTCGCGGTCTTTAGAAAGCAAAGTTGCAGTAGACTCATTCGCTGCACTTCAGGTTTTCTTTGATCTTTTGACATGTGGGAAGCGCCTAGGTATAGTATCAAGCGGGCGCAAAAAAGGACAACCTGTTGGTTAAGCTGATCAGCAATACACTCCACGGAACTGGAAGGACGGGGTCCGAATGGTCAACAATTGCTGGTAGTATAGGCAGAAACAATTCACTACTTTACCAGTAATCTGGCTAGCGTGTCCAAGGTCAGAACTCATGGGTGAGATCGGATGGCTTTAAGGGTAACGACAAAGAAGGAAGTGCAGCAGCATTTGTATGGTTTTGTTTGTCCTTCCTCCATACACGGTGACCAAGGCGACCCACCCGGTTTCATTACGGGCTAGTCGAGTTAACGAAAAAGAAAAGCCTATTGTGAAGCGATTTCGGAAAAGCTCTGTGCAGCGTGGAATAATATCATGTGGTGGGCCACATGACATTATTTGTGGCGGTTGACAGGCTGTCTCAGTATGATAAGCTCCAGACGCTCTGGGACAGACCAACATACTGAGACATCTTATGATTAATACGTGTGCTATGAGATGGCTCTTTTAGTTCATGTCTAAGATCCTCATAGCCTTACCGGAAGCCGAGTAGCTCTCACGCGCATATACAGGCAACAGGGCAGTAGGTTTGCATAACCCTTTGGTGGGTGTCTACTGTGCATAGTGCGCGCTGGCCGTCGGGCGTTCATTCGCAATGAAGCTGGTTCCATTTTATTTCTCATGCCATGGATTGCTGAATCAAGCTCGAAGTAGTTAGCGCTTCCGACGGTGTATTTTACTAACAAACCAGCTGCACGCCCTACTACTGCAGTAAAGTACAAGGTGAAATAACAGGAAAATTTCTCAGCTAGTCGGAATAATTAGCCGAAAAATCCCTCACTTTTGACTAAAATTCAATAAAACTAATTATGCGAAATGAATTTGAATGTATCCCGGCCCGCGAAACTTTACATTTAGTTGGTTCGAATCTCTAGCTTTGCCACCACAGCAATGAGTGGCATTAAGTCAATGACTCTATTCTTCCCTGTTGAGATTGTACTTTCGATAACTTTGCAACCAGGTTGCAAGCCGTCGTGGAAGGCAAATATATTCATTTTCTTAACACTTACTTCCACCTGTATGCTGGAAGTATCCGCTTTGGTTAATCGGGACGTATTTTGACATTTCTATCACGTTGGCGTATTCAAGTCCCTAGAGGGCATTCTGCAGAATTTTGTCGGTGACAGCCACGAGATACTAGTACCTTGTGGTTCATATATGCGGCGCTGTTGCCTGGAGGTTTCGCATGACCTTGGAGAGTGCCGCAGTCAAGCAATCAAGATGAACCATTGCTCGGCAGATGGGAAAAGTCAATAATGTGAAACTCGGTAATGGGTTCGAATTTTTAAAAGCTATGACGTGTCCTTGATGGATTGAAGCAACCGGAAAATTGTGCCAAGGGTACCAGTCTAGACTTTTAAGCCCCACTTGGGCATCTCGGGGTCTTAGAAATGCTAAAAAATTAACCCGCAGGACTTTTTAGACAGAGGCATGGTCGCTCCAGTAAACAGTGTAATTTGGCGGGCTGCAAAAATATGAAAGGAGGTTAAGACGGTTTTTGGCTTGAGCACACACAGCAAAATGCAACATTTCGGTTCCAAAAGTTTTACTCCATTTGTAAAGGTTTTGAAGCTGTGAGCATTGTGCGGATAATGGGCACTGTCCACAGGACCGAGAAGCGTCCTGAAGTAAACATCTCAGGGACAAGCAAATAGCCTTATTATTTCATCTTCAACGGAGTTGACGTACTAAATAATTAAAGGAAAACA